AGGCACTCCTCGGGGCGGGGCCTGAGGAGTTCTGGTTCTGAAGCGAAGGAACCAAGCGGCCTTGGGAGGGCCTGCCCCTGCCTGGGCCCTGCTGTCCCCTCTGCAGGGAGAGGGGTTGGGGGTGGGTGATCCCCAGAGCCTCTCCTGGCTCCGACCTTCAGGTCCATTGCCCCTGGGGGTCTTCTCTGAATCAGCGTCGGCTCCCAGAGGGGCCCGCAGAGGAGCCCCTGGCTGCCCGGCCTGAGAGCTCACTCACCCGCAGGCCACGCAATTGGAGTTCCAGAGAGGGTGCACGAAGAGGTCCCCGGCGTTGATAGGGATCACCTGTTCGGGGCCCTCCAGCTCAGAGCGGTCATACTCGCCCAGCACCACCTGGTAGGTCCGGGAGGTCCTGCCGGCGGAGGTGACGTCAGCCTAGGCCTGAGCGGCCTTCCCCCATCCCGTCCTGCCGTCCTCCACGGCCCCAGCCCACCTGGGTCTCACGCAGGGACAGGGGCAAGCGAGAGAACTCACGAGATGCAGTGGCCGGCGGTTACGACCCAGTCAGGGGCAATGAGGCTGCCGCCGCAGGTGTGGTGGAAGGCTCCGTCCTTTTCATACTGCAAGGAGACCTGGCAGCAGGGAGGGGGGTTCTGAGTGGTCTGGGCCCCGCAAGGGGGGTTGCTACCCCTGGCTGTATAGGTTGAGCCCTGCACAACTCCAGAGGGCAGGAGTCACACAGAATGGCATCCTCTGGAAACGGGCAGCACCCATCCCACACACAACTGTAACTTCCATGGCTGCTTTCGAGCTACAACGGTGGAATTAAGTCACTGCAATGGAAACCACAGGGCCGACAGAGGCTAAAACATTTCCTCTCTCAGCCTTTGCAGAACAAGTCTGAGGACACCTGATATAGGCCAATGACATCCCACAGGACTTTCTGTGATGATGGAAATGTTTGGTAGGACTCAGCGTGGTAGCCGCTGGCCGCGTGTGGTTATTGAGAATTTAAACTGTGGTTAGCAGACTTCCCTGCTGTGCAGTGAATAAGAATCCGCCTGCCAGTGCAAGGGAGACAGGTTCGATCCCTGGTCCGGGAAGACTCCACATGCCTTGGAGCAACTAAAGCCATACAACTACTAAGGCTGCGCTCTGGGGCTCTTGAGCCATAGCTACTGAACCTACGTGCTGCAACAAACCTGGGCACCCTAGACCTTGTGCTCTGCAACAAAAGACGCCACCGCAGTGAGAAGCCCATGCATGGCAGTGAAGATAGCCCTTACTAGCCGCAACTCGAGAAAGCCTGCATGCAGCAACAAAGACCCAGTGCAATCCATCAATCAATAAAATGTGGTCAGCACTGAGCAACTGAATTTCTGATATGACTTAATTTTAATGAATTTAAATTTAGGCCTATACAGGAAAAGGGTCTATAAAAAAAGTGGACATGTTTATGTATAACTGATTCACTCTTTGTATACCTGAAACTAACACCACTTTGTGAATCAACTACTCTCCAATAAAAATTAAAATAAATATATAAATTTAAATAGTCACGTGTGACAAGTGGCTACTGTGTTAGCGCCATGGGTCTAGTCCTCTCTGCCTCCCTCCACTGACCTCCATAAAAGCCTTTCATCCCTTTATTGCTCTCAGACTTTATAGCCCTGTTGTATAATGTGTATCAGGGGAAAAATGTATAATTATCTCATCAAATCCATGATTTCTTGACCAATATTGCTAAAATGAGGCTGGAGTAGGCATTTGAGTTTTTAAAAGTGAATCAATTCAAAGAAAATGGTGGCGGGCCTTCCTTGGCAGTCCAGGGGTTAAGACTCTGTGCTTCCAATGCAGGGAGCTAGGATACGGTCCCTGGTCTGGGAAATAAGATTTCTTGTCCGTGCTGAACTTCCACCATTAGTGCACTGACCCTTGGGTTAAACATTCTCTCTCCCTGGAGTCTACTGTTAACTTGCAAACAGCCCAGTGAGAGTTACAGATTCAATGGGCAAAATTTCTGCATGAAGGCGATTATCCAAGGGTCTCCCGGCCTTTGGGAAACTGAAGTGGATGCCGGAAGCAATGCAATGGGGTCCAGACTGGATGCCCTGCAATCAGAGCATGGGATGCAGAGCCCATGGTGGGAAATAGTGCAGCTGGTATTCTGTTACCTGCCAGGGCCAGCTGTAGGGGACCGCGTCCTCGCCGTTGACAACTCTGGAAGGGAGGCGGGAGAAAGGCTGGCTGAAGCCCGAGGCTAGAGGGGACAGAAGAAGTGGCAATCAGGCCCAAGGTTCCCCAAAGCAAAAAGGAGGTCTGGGCCCCAGACAGGCTGTGATATCCCACACAACACCTTCCCCTCTCTGATCCCAGTAGCTGCGTATCAACAGTGAGCATTTGGACAAGAGCAGGGATTTCTGGAGTCCTGGGAGTCTGGGATGGAGATGAACACGTGGCTTCTTTTCATGGCAGGAGTAAACCTGATGCACTTAGAATAGCGCCTGGTACCCAAAGGGGGCTTGAGGAGCGATAGCTATTGTCATGAAGAGGGGCAGCTTTGGAGTAAGGCTGTCTGGATTCAAAGTGCATCTCTGCCCCTGGTTCTAGGATGGGCCACTTTACTTCTCTGAGGGTCAGTTTCTCTATCTGCAAAATGGGAATAATAATAGTACAGACCTCATGGGGTCTGTACAATGGGGTCTGACCTCTTATATTATAATTCTTATAATATAAAAAATTCTTATAAGAAAAAAAAATCCCGAGCATTCTGCCTGGCGGATAGTAAGCATTCAGTAAACACGACCTGTTACCATTCATTATTGCTAGTCAAGGGAAGCTGTTTGCAGAAGGTGGCCCTGAGCTGTACTGTAATATGGCAGAGGTGCGAGGAAAAGGCTAGACCATAGGCTATGGAGCGTAGTGAGGGGAGTGCGAGAGGAGAGTTGGAAGGTTCAGCAGAAGAACAGAAATTCCAAACCCAAGCAGTCTAACCACAGAGCCCAGACTCTTTACCATCAGACTTTTGTTTACCACTGGTTCTGTCAAGGACCCCCATCCAGGGATTTGGGTTCCCCAGTCCTCCTCCTGAGCTGGTCCATCACCCACAGCTTCCCTCAATTCTCCTGCTCTAGCACCAAGCTGAAAACCTCCACCGCCATGCCTCAGCTACAAGCTGAACCCTCTCCTATGCAACCAGGCATTGAGTTCCAGAGACTCAGGGTGGGTGGTAGATTTCAAGGGATCCTGGCCCAGGGCAGCACAGGCTGGGTCTTACCAAGGGCCACAAATAGGAGAAAACTCAGCAGCTGGATCATCGTGAGTTTTGAGACGATAAGAAAGGGATCCATAGCCCAAGGCTTTAATATAGGGCAGAAGACGGGTGGGGGGGCCCCACTGGGCCCCATTCCCGGAACAGGTGGTGGAACACCAAGTCTCCCATGGTCCAAGGCCACATCCCCACCGACCGCAGATGGGGCGGTGACAGCCGACAAGAGGATCCAGAGTGTGCTCGCCAAAGTGTGGCTGCACAGGTGGCCCTGAATGGCAAGCTGATAACAGAGGAGGGGGAAGGAAATTTCACGTCAGAATAAGACAGCCTCTTCCAGGAGCAAATACGGGCTCTGGGACAGCTCACACCTGGGTTCAAATCCTGGCTCTGCCACTCCCAAGCTCTGCATCCGTGGGCACATGGCTTACCCTCTCTGAGCTTCAGGTTTCTCATCTCTAATATGGGATTAATATTGCTCTCCACCTCAATTAAAAATATTTTGTTTTGTTGAGCCCTCTGTCTATATCAGGATGTTCTTGGGGATGCAGCCATGAACAAGAATGGTCCCAGCTTTCTTGGGGCTTTAGTCTACTAGGGGATTTGGAGGACGTTAGTTGCTCAGTCATGTCTGACTCTGCGACATGTAGCCTGCCAGGCTCCTCTGTCCATGGAATTCTCCAGGCAAGTCTGCTTACTGGGGAAGACAATGACAAATCAGCAAAAATAAAGAAAGGCTATTTCTGTTTGTGCTGGAAGATGCTATGAAAAGAATAAGATGTAGGGGGCTGAAGTGGGGATGGGAGTGACTCATTTAGATGAGGGGCCAGAGAGAGTGGGCCAGAGAGGAGGGCTGGAGAGATAGTGTTCGATTTGAGTCCTAAAGGGCAAGTAAGCCAGCCATGGGAAGCCCTGAAGGAAAAGCTCTCCAAGGTGGGAAGGATGACAAGTGCAGAGGTCTGGAGGTTTGTCTGAGGACAGGAGGTCAATGAGGCTGAAGCATTGAAGTCAAAGTGGAGAGTGATAGAGGGTGAGATCAAAGAAAAGGTGACTCCTAAAGCTGCTTTCACATCTGATCCAGCAAATCCACTGCTCTGGACCCTCAAAAAAATCACACACATGTGCCCCAGGAGGCATGCCCCAAGAATGTTCCTGGTGTCCCTGTCTTCTCTCCTCAATAACGAAAGCCTAGGAACAACGGAAATGTCCATGAAGGCAAGTGGATGAATGTGTGTAGTCTACGTATACAATGGAATATTAAAGAGCAGTCAAAAAGAATGAATCACCTTGACATGCCACACTGTAGATAATCCCTAGGAATATAAAGCAAGAAGGAAAAGAAGGCCCCAGATGATGAAATATTGTTCAATACTCTTTTTGGAGAATTAAAAACTACTGACATTTAAAAATATACCTTTTAAAAAATATAGATATTTGAATAAAATTGCTTAAAAAGGCAAGCAAAGGCCCAATGAACCTAGGGTTCGGGATTACGTTCATTTCGAGTCTGGGGTGAAGGCGAAGAGGATAGGTCAGATGTTTTGAGAGCTTCTAGCATTGTTTTGTTAGTTTTGTGTTTTAGATTTTTTTTTTAAGGTTAATTTGCATACAATAAAATTCACCAGTTTTAATTGTAAAATGTAATTTCTGACACACACACAGGCACGTAACCACCGCCACCATCACGACATGGAACATTTTTATTACCCAACTAGAGAGCCCACACACCCAATGAAAGATCTTCCATGACACATCAAAGATGGAGCGTTCTGCCACTAAGAAAGAAAGTGAAGTCACCCAGTTGTGTCTGACTGTTTATGACCCCATGGACTGTAGCCCGCCAGACTCCTCGCTCCATGGACGTTTCCAGGCAACGATACTGGAGTGAGTTGCCATTTCCTTCTCCAGGGGATTTTCCCAACCCGGTGATGGAACCCAGGTCTCCCACACTGCAGGCAGCCTCGTAACCGTCCAAGCCACCAGGGAAGCCCTAGGCAAAAAAACAAATACACACACAAACAAAAAGAAATTTTCCTCCTACCCAGTCACTTTCTATCCCCTGCCCCTACCCTCCCACCTCCACACCTGGCCCCCCTGGCAACCTGTGATCTGCTTTCTGTCTCTTTAGCCTGGCCGTTTCGAGAACTTTTATGTATAAATGAAAGCATATAGTATATATCTTATGTGTCTGGGCATCTTTCACTTAGCATAATGCTTTTGTGAGTCATATGTGTCATTATGTTAGATGTGGTTTTGCAAGCAGCAAATGTATTATTTAAAACAACTATATGTCTAATAAATAAAAGTGGCCCATGAGTGGACTAATGCTATTTGATTAACCTAATTCTGTTACCTGAAATCCAGATTCGAAGAGAGAGAGAAAGAGGTGAGTGAAGGCCAGGCCCCATGAGGTCTCTTTGCAGGTCAGGCTGATAAGGAGCTGGGTCTTTAATTCCAAGCATAAGGAGAAAGCCATGGGGTCAGGAGTGGTGGTTAAGTAGGAGAAGGACCTGGGATCTCACTTACACTTCTGAAAAATCTCTGTCCTGGGTACTGTGTGAAGGGTTGTGGGGTGAGATTGAGGGGAAGCAGCTGGAGCTATTTCAGTTGCCTGGGCAAAGTAGGGGTATGGGAGGTGGGGGTGGAGCTTGGCCTGGGGTGGTAGAGACGGAGATGGAGAGGTTTCGGTGGGATCAGAAGGTATTTTGGAGACAGAGCAATATCTGAGACCATTTCAGTGAAGTGTGAAGCACAGAAAGTGAAAGTGAGTCGCTCAGTCGTGTCTGACTCTTTGTGACCCCATGGATTGTAGCCCGCCAGGCTCCTCGGTCCATGGGATTCTCTAGGCAAGAACACTGGAGTGGATAGCCATGCCCTCTTCTAAGGGATCTTCCTGACCCGGGGACCAAACCCAGGTCTCCTGCACTGCAGGCAGATTCTTTACCATCTGAGCCACCAAGGAAGCCTGTGAAGCACAGAGTCTGGCAGTAAATCTGTGAACTCAATTCACATTATTCTAATTGTAGAGAAGACTCGGCACATCCTTGGCTGCTGGAAACGGCCTCCCAGGCCAGGGCCGACATTTTGCAGGGTCTCGATGAACGTTTGCGGAATGAGGCAACGGGGCTCTGCAGACTTGACTGAGCCATACTTGCCTCTCCTCCACCGCCAGCACTCTGGAGACGGCCAGATTCCTTCCTGCTGGTGTCATGGATCGTTTAGAGTCATCCTTTGGGGGCTGCTACATTTCGGAAGCATGGGAGGAGGGCGACGCTTAGCTGCTTTCAACGGATCCCTCATGATGGAATGCCAGGCGTCAACAGGCAGGGTTTCTTTCAAGGGTGCAGCCCCTCCAAGCACCCCCTAGAGTGATGTCTGCGACGCCAAGAGACTGAGCCTGCGGCCAGTGTGTGGACAACAACAGAAACAGCTGTGAAAATCCTTCAAAGCGTGATAAAAATAGCCGTGCCCTCCCTTACCCCTGTTCCCTGTGGGCCTGGATATGTTTGTTTGCTCAGCTTTGAAGCTCAGAGCCATTTCCCAGACCCCGAGCAGAGGAAGAAAGGGGGAGAAACTGAAGACGTGGCCGGGGAGGAAGAGGGGCAGGTCAGAGCTTCCCGGATCCCACTGTAGACGGTCTGAAACAGACACAGCCTCAATGATCTAATCCATCTCTTCTGACAGATGGGAAATGAAGACCCCAGGAACAGCGAGGACTGGCTCGGGACCCCCATCCCCACCCCCACCCCCCGCCGAGTTTATCACTGCCTGCTCCCTGCAGGGTCACACGATAAGCCACCCCAGCCTTTATCCGGGTGGCCTTGAGCAGGTCCTAGCCTCTCTGCTGGCTCTGCAAATGGGTGTGTGGCCACCCTGGCCCCCTGCTCTGTCCCAGGGGAGCGGGACCCTCCAGGCCCGCCCCATCACTAACCCTATCAGGTCACCTTAGCCTCAAGGCCTAGCGGAAATGCTGCCAGGATGCTGCTGATTAATCCTCTGGGGTTTTCCAGCCTGGGAGCAGCTGGAGCTTTTCCCCTGGGAAGAGGGAGCTGGCAGGGAAGCTGCAGGGGCCAGATCCACAGCAGGGCTCAGCCTAAAGCCGAGCAAGCGGCGTCCTGAGCGGGAGGCGCAGAGCGAACAGAGAATTTGGAGGTGCGTCTGGAGAGGGTACAACGGAGCTGGGGAGCCTTTTCTTAGCAGGGGGGTGCATTTTCATTATTTCTAGTTTCCCATCAGGTGGGAAGCTTTAGGAGGGCAAAACTTGGTGGTTTATCTTTGAATTCCTAGTGCCAGGAGGAGCCTGGCACATGTACTCAGTGAAGTGCACAATACATTGAAAGAGGCAACAAATGAATGAATGAAACTGAAGACGCCTCAACGCCTGCCAACTCTTCCTCCCCTGACTCTCAGGAAGGGCACCGCCGGAGGCCAGCCCCTCTGAGAGTGGTCCCTTGAATGGTGGTTCTGGAGGGCAGTGTTCGGAGGGTGCTCATCCATGTCCTGCGGTAAATGAGCCAAGAGAATGAAGCCCCTGCCGTGTTCTCTGCTGGGGGCTCGGCTCCCACCCAGAACCCTGTGGACACGCAGTAAAGAATCAGAGGGTAGTGGGACTGGGAAATGGGAGATTAAACAAAGTTCACATGGGTCTTTCCTGTAGTTCTTGTTAGAGTCTGGAAGGTGCCAGTGTTCATCGAGAGTCAGACCCAGGTGATCTTAAATCCCAGACTCTCTGATGCCTCGTTGCCCAGCTACCAGCCCCATCCCTCTCGGGTGGGATGGCTCAGCCTCTGAGATCAGGCAGGGGCCCCATCGGCCCTGCGACGGCACCAGGAAGCCGCCGAGGGGACCCAGGGCTGGGCCGCCATGCAGACGGCTCTTGCCCGGAGGAAGTCGCTGTCTCAGCTGGGACCCGGGGAGGCTGCTGGACAGCGGCACTGGGGAGGGGCGCGCGCCGGGGCCTGTCTTCCTGGGGCCGAACCTGTGGGCGCAGCGGCACCCCTTGCCGCCTGCAGTGCTCTGGGGGACGGTGCTGACCGAGGGGCAGCCCCCCTCCCTCCCCGCTCTCATTCCACTGCCCTCCTGGCACGTACACATCCACAAATAGTTGTCAAACACCTACTAGATTCCAAGCACTGACCAGTCACCAGGGATGCTCCTGTGAAGACAGAGCCCGCCGCCAGCAGGCGGAGTGCGGCAGTAAGAACCGGGTGTGAGCGGTACTTCTGGACCATCTCGCTCCTCACCCGGCTCCATCCTGCCCCGCTGGCCAACCTGCTGGAAGCATCCATGGGTTCCCTGGTCCTCTGGGTTTGGTTCAGTCAGTGGAAGGTGCCAGCAGGAACCTGGAGGACCGGAAGATGGAGCGGTCGGGGTGTCTATTCCAGGGCCTGCATCCCTCCATCAAAGGCCTTGGTGCCTATCAGGGGACCTTCTCCTTTCCCCACAGCTCCTTCCTCAGGGCTCCATTAACTGCCTTCTCCCTCTGCCCCTTCAGGCCTGGGGGTGGTGTCAGTTCCCACTGTTGCAAGCCTTGAAATGCCCCCACCATTCCTTGCTAGTTTCTCCAACCCCACCTGCACTTTTATTAAATATCCCTCGGTGACCTCCTGGGCTTGACACCTGTTCCCTTCCCGGACCCTGACCTGTGATACACTTTTGTTTGACTATAACAGAGAACCCAAATCATGGTGCATGAATAAGAGAGACACGTATTTTCCTCTAACCTCAAAGTCTGGGCTTCCCAGGTGGCTCCGTGGTAAAGAACCTGCCTGCCAAAGCAGAAGACATGGGTTCGATCCCTGGGTCAAGAGGACCCCGTGGAGGAGGAAATGGCAACACATTCCAATATTCTTACCTGGGAAACACCAGGGACAGAGGGGCCTGGTGGGCTACAGACCACGGTGTCGCAAAGAATCGGATACGACCCTGCAGCTCAGCACGTGAACATGCAGCTTCAGAGTCCAGGCTGGCGTTGCGGTGTTGCTCTGGGAAGTCATCTGCTCTTTCTATTTCTCAGTTCCTCCATCACTAGGAATGTGCCCTCATCCTCAAGGCATGGGTTCTGTTGTGTTTTTCCCGCTCCGAATTCCCTGGTAACTCAGAAAGTAACCTTATATGGGCATAGGGTCACTGCACATGTAATTAGTTAAGATGAGGTCATTTGGGTGGGCCCTAATCTAATATGACTTGGATCTTTATAAAAAGCTGAAATTTAGACACAGAGAGACACACACGCAGAAGGAAGACAGCCCCCTACAAGCCAAGGAGAAGGGCCTGGAACAACCCTCAGAAGGAACTTACCTCCCTGACCCCTTGATTTTAGACTTCTAGCCTCTAGACCCTTGAGAGAATATATTTCTGGTGTTTAAATGACCCAGTTTGTGGCCCCAGGAAACTAACACAGCCTGCAATGGTCTCTATACCACACCACACCACATTCCAGATGGAGAAAAAGGAAGGGGCAAGCTGACACATTATCTTTAAGCACCAACCTGGAATTTGTGTCCGTCTCCTCTGACTATGCTCAGAAGCCAGCCTGTGGTCCCCCACCAGCTGCCTGGGAGACTGGGAAATGTCCTGGCACAGGGAAATTGCCTATTACCGGGGCAGAAAGGGAGAAGAGATATGGGGGGCAGCTGCAGGTTCCTGGCACCAAGTACCATGAATGCTTTCCGATGGCGGCCGCAGGAAACCCTGCCTAAGGTAAACAGTTAGGAACTCTACCATCTCTCAGGACTTGACTTCAAGTCTGCGAGGGGGAGCACGGGGGAGGTCCACCCAGGTTTGGGGTCCATGCTCCGCTGTTCCCAGGGCTCTGCCCTACACAGGCGCTCGTTTCCTCCTCTGGCTGGAAAGTCAGATGGCTGCCCCTGCCCGTGTCAGTTCAGTCTGGGTCAAACCAGAAAACGGGAATCTCAAGTATTTGATGCGAAGGGAACTGGTTCTGCAGGTGAGGGGAGTGCTAAGAAGACAACAGGGCTTAGAGCGTGGTCACGACTACCTTCCAGGGTGGGGGACGGAGGAATGAGCTGAGCTGGACTTGCTCAGCAGAAGTGGGGCCCGGCCCAGGCCCGTCCAGTGGGAGCCGTGGAGCATGTGCCGTGGAGAAAGACCCTGGTTCCTCTCTTCTTCCTCCCATCTCCCATCTTCACCTCCCACTGGCTGAACCTGGCTGGAAACCAGCCGTCGCGGGTGTCTGGGAAGTCAAGCCTGCAGGAGTCAGTCCCCCAGTCCCTGGCCCAACCGTGATATGGGGAGGAATCAACCTGAGTCTGGAGCCTTTGTGGGAGGGGATGGGAAGGGAAGGGAGAGATGGGACTGGAGCCCCCTGCCAGGCAGGTGCCCCAGAACCACGGGGCCCTTTGAAGGGTCTATAATAGAACAACATGGGAGTCCTCTGCGTCCAGTGGTCAGCACTTGGCACTCTCACTGCTGGGGCCTAGGTTCGATCCCTGATCGGGGGAATTAAGATTCTGC